ACAATAACGAACATATAAAAATTAGATCGGAATGATCAAACACCGGAAGCCGACTTGGAAAACGTGGTCGAAGAACACCAAATAAACCTAGAAGAATAGAAGAACCGACGAACCCAAAAGGAAGATTTTGCACATTTTTTTTTTACTATTGACCCTCGATTTCTTGTTTTAACTCTCAAACAATAATGATATTCCTCAAAATAGCCCTAGATAATCCTTTTCAATCGACCTAGGATGAAGAACGCAAATCCAAAATGAAGAACACTAACCTAGAAAAACAAGAACAAATTCAAACGACTCGCTTAGAAATTCAAAAGAGAAAACTCGGATGTGAAAGAAATGAACCCCAAAATTTAGTAAAGGTAGTTGAGAAACACTTAAGGATGGAAAATTAACCCGAAAAACAACAAACAAAGGATCGAAGGAGACCGTTAGTCGATGAACTAAAACCCGAACCCTAAAAACACTAAGAACACAAACCCGACAGAATCGTCATCCCAAATTTTTGAATCTTTTGCTCTTAGTTTTCACTCTTTCTAAACCCGGAATTCCCCTCCATTTTTTCCCTCTTTTGTCTGCGAAATCGAGCTCTCTTTATAACCATAAATTTCCTTGATTTTCTCCTAGAATCAAAAATTCAATCTCAAATTATTCTATCAAAAATCTCTCGCTTTAATTCGGTTAGCTAATCAACAAGGAAAGAGGATTGGTGTCTACATGATCCTCTCGTCAAAATTAATTAAGTCAAGAATCATAATAAATGCAAAATCAAAACAAGAAATTTAGTGGAAGATTTGACAGATTCTTCCAAGGATTTTTGAAGAGGATTTAGATTTGGAGTTGATGATAAGTCATCCTCTCCATTTCGGTCCTGTCTTCTGCTCTAACATTCCAATTTAATCCATGTGCACTTCAATTTAAGCAATTATGCCCTCTTGTGGTATAATTTCGGTCTTTATAAAGCACAATCCTATCAATTGAGTCCTTGTAGGGTGCAATTTAGGCCCCGAATTTTCTAATTGGTTCGATCATACCCCTAATTACCTCAATTACATCATACTTTAAATACAATCATGGCCCTAAATGAATATTTTTTGTATTTTTATTATTTTTCCATTTTTTTGGTTTTTTTCTTTTTAATAAACTCCAACATAAATAAAACGAAGTAGAATAAGAAATAAAAACAAATAAAAGATAATAAAAAAATGAGTAAATTTTGGGTTATTACATCATAAGTTCATGATTTTATGAAGAGGGGCTCACGGGTCTTCCATGACCTTCATGATTAAAGGTTTCGTGGCCGAGTGGGTGTAAACGTGCACTTTCAAAGACTCGATAGGACGAGTTCGTAGAATAGTCCGGTTCTCCAAACATATCATGGAAACCCTAAAGTCAAAAAATGAGACATGTCCAAAGACAAAAAAAAATGTTTTAGAATGTTCATGATGATTTTATGACATGGAAATGGATTTTCAAAGAACATGCATATAATTTATCATATGCATTCCATTTATTCACACATCATGTATAGATTAACTTACGGGGCAATCGCTTACCAAATTCCTATGGTGTAGGCACTAAAGCTAAAGATGACAATGTTCATATTTGAGTCGACTATCGAGGGGACAATATGTCATGTGTATCTTGGATGTGGCTGCAAGGTGGACCTCCTACAGACGATAGTTATATTAGCATTTGATATTTTGGTTTATTTTCTAGGTATGACATCTTTCTTTTACATGATAGTCAAAGCCATGAAAAGATGAGTAGTTAGTTAAAAAAAATAGATGTACTAAATAAGTCATTTTTATAGTATGTGACGTAGAACCGGTATATATAAACTAAAGACGATCCGTATATTAATCGAAATATCGATAGTAAAACAATAGTGTAGCCATAGTTAGTACGAGTTTTCTTTAAGTTAATTTCTTATATGCTAGCACTAATAATAAGATAAAAAAAATGAAGATGGTAAGCAAATAATCAAAATAAATGGCATTTGATGAGGATAAAAGAAATTAAATATCTAATAATGATTTATAGTTAAATAAATTTATACGGACTAATAGAAAAGAAATTTGAGAAAATCAAGTGTCATAGATCTAGTGCATTCGATCCAAAAATTAAATAAAATGCTAAAACTTGAAAAATTTATAGTTCATTTTGGACTGAAATTGAGGACTCGCTCATTAATGATAGGCTTCCATAGCTAATTCTATACCTAGAAGACCATAGTAAAGACACGGTATCTTGTTGGCTTGCGTTCATTGCACTTCAAATATAAGTTAACGATGGTAATATTTTTGACCTATTAGATCTTAGGTAGGGGGTGTTATAAGGATCCTTTAAAAAAAATCTGATTCTTACTTTATTTAGTCTTTACTATCACGTTGAAGCAATTTAACAAAAAAATCCAATTTTCTTCAATTTAAATTTGGTCGTCCAAACATGAATGTCGTGGCACAATCTTAACAATCAAATACTATTTTCAATTCACTATAAATACCAACCTCATATCATTGTAAAGAAATTTTAACTTTCTAATCTCTAGTAAAAACCTCTAAATCCTCTCTCTCTCTCTATCTCACACACATAAAAAAATTTCACTCACACACTAAACAACATTTAAAGCTCCATCTCGTTTAGATTTTGACTCACTCGATTTGTCGGCCACTCGATTTGCACCTTGCTAGTTATGCCTACTCCTTTCATACCTCTCATTACTTACATCAATTCTTCTTGGTTGGTTGACCATTAAAATTTTCTCTAATAATAATAATAATATCATTAAAAGTGATTTTTTAATTATTTAAAAAATTAGAACTTTTTTTCCAATTTTTGATTATTTTATAATAATTATTAATTATTTTAATCTTAAAAAATACTTTTTTTATCTTTAAATTGACTCGTGTTGCCTTTTGATTAGTCAAACGTTAGTCAACTAATAAAAATTGATCAATCGATCGAAAAAGTTAATAGAGAGTTTGATTTACACCAATGTCTAATACTATAAGATCCGTTATGAACTATATTTGAATAGAAGGGTTATAACGATATTTTCGATATAATACAGGAGTACATAGTATGTTTAATAGAATTTTAAATAAGCTAAAGTTTAGAAAAGATTTGACCTATTTAACCTTCTAAATATTATAAAAAAAGCTCAAATCAAGGATTATTTGATGTTGAATCTATTTTTTAAAAGTAAGAAATACATTAATACCAATTAAACTAAAATTACTTAACATTGTGGTCTCTCAATCATCAAGTCTCGTTAAACTAGATCCAATTCAATGTAAAAAGACATTTACCTTCTATGTCGGAAAGGCACATGAGAAAACACCTTTTCAACTATTAGCTCATTTATGCTTTATAAAACTAAACCGTAGGCTTGGGCTCACCTTCCCCTTGATCTCGCCTAACTCTCCAAATTAGCACGTGGTCCTTGTGCTCTAGCTAGGGCAACCCGTCCCAACTTGTCCCCCTTATAGAGTATGATGTCTGGATTCTAGAAGGACAAGGAGAATTAGAGGAAGTTTGACGGAGGTGCATTTGATTCAACCAACTGGCGTCAATGAGGACGATTTTTGGGCATAATGAGGAAAAAAAAAAAAGCGAACTTGATTGCAGACATGAAATGGATCGAAGGAGCCTCTTCATTATCACAAAACTGAAAGTATGGCTAAGCAATCAGACCCATTTAGGCCCAAAACTAAGTGGATAAGGGGCCTAGACCATGTCCTTGTGAAGTTGTCTATTGTAATTGCAAGTTAAATGCAAGTACCATTTCATGGTTCTAGGCACTAAACCATTCATGTTTCGTTGAGTAGCGTGAGCAATATTCGGTATAAATTTTTTTTAAAAAAAAAATAGAACCATTTAAATATAGTTCAATTTTTTCTTTTTTTTAAAAAAAATCAAACCCAATTTAATTTTGTTTTTAGATTTTGATTTCGTGTGTATATATATATACATATATATACATACATATATATATAGAGAGAGAGAGAGAGAGTCTAGATATCTGTACATGATCTAGCATTAGAAAATAAAAAAACTACCCAATTTATTCTATTGCTAAATAAACTTCAGTAATGATTTATGCGTTATATTATTTGATTTAGATGTTAGATGTAATTTTTTAGTTGATTGAAACTTTGAAATGATATTGCTTACTTTTTTTTTTTCAAAATAAAATGATAAATAAATAAAAAGATCTAATTCATGTCAAAAATAATCTTCAAAAAACCAAAAATCATCACATTATTTTTTATATTAAAAAAATATTTTTTTCACCGAAAAATTGAAAACCGAATAATATTTCAAATCAAGTTTGATTTTGATTTTTATGAATTCTATTAATCAAAAAACCGCATAGAATTTATAAACAACAAAAAGCAAGTAACGAATACTCACTCCTATAGTCTTTCCTATAGAGTGACCAGGAGACCAACTCATTGAACTAATTGGCTCTTCCTTCAATTGTCAAGCTAGGTCAGAAATTCCCTTCACAGTTCCTAGCTTCCTTGATTATTTAACCTTTCCGAGTTGCTAGGGGACGATTGATTTAGCCAAGTATAGATGTCAAGAAGAACGAAATGTCCTACTTGATAGTGATGCCATGTTTGTCTCCACCATAGTCGTCAAATTATTCAATAAACAAAACATCAAACTCTTTTGATAATTCAACAAAACCTCTTTAACCCCACCCGTTCCTCATGCTTAAAGGACTCCTATCTATCATATCAAATGAAAACTCTCTTTTCAAACTATGCCAGCAAGTAGTTTTGGGGTTTTACTCGTTCTACTTAATTCAAGTGTTTTTTTTTTATTGCAACTTGTTTGGCCTTGTATTATAAAAGGTAAATCTAAGAAGTCTGCATTTTATCATATCATCATTAGCTTCAGCTTTAGTGGGATCATAGCCTCTTCTTTTTCTTTGCTTTTGGTGATTTGCTTCAAAAGTATTGCTTAGCACAAGAAAAGAGAAGTATCTAGCAATGGCAGCACGTGGTCTTCTCTTGGCATCACTTGTTCTCTCTTGCTTTCTTTTGCCTTGTTATGGAACTGTGCTCTTCTCTTCTTTGCAAAAAACTCTCGTAGTCAAGGCTACACCAACATCTGGACAAGGTAACACAATCCACATAACTTCGTTTTCTTTCTTGTTTGTTCTTGATTTTCAACTTCTCAATTCTCACAGCCCATCTTTACCTCTCTATAATATATATATATATATATATATATATATATATATTAAGTGAATAGTTTAGATAATGTGAGATATGGTAAAAATGACAACACAACTACAGTCTTGTCGGTTTAATTAACCAAGACTATACTAAGAAATTGAATTTTTGGAAAACTATCATGTTGTAGAAATGATACAATTCACCTACCATTTTTATGTTTAATGACAACGCCTTTTTTTCGCGTTTTCACGTTTAATAACAATGCATTCCATTAATATTTGTCTTAGCCATCTTATTAAATGGTAGGATTATTAGTAATCCATCTGGTACATAAGCTTAATTGGTAGGAATATTAGGGCTTTTGTCCTCTTTCAAGGCATCATTCAATCATATGATACAATACTACAATTAGGTTTTGTGGCGCTTCCTTTGATAATAACTGCTAATGCTATATGATATTTATCTCACTCATGCTGTTAAGTAATAGAATTATGAGCACTTGATCAATCATTCACTATAAATCTTTTACTGTTGCTTTGTAAATATGAAAGAACTTAATATGCCTTCAAATAACCATAACAATTATCTTAACCTAAAATATACTGCTAAATGGTGAAATCATGATAGTAAAAGAGAAATGGAGACGTATGTCGTCTCTCTTTCATAATTAGTCGTATGACACGATGCTGCAGTCAGATTTTGTGGCCTTTCTACGATTAATGACATGACATATTTCTTTCATTTGATGCTACGGAACTAATTGTTACGTAACTTTGCAGTATTGAGAGCCGGTGTGGACAAAATCACCGTTACATGGGGCCTGAACCAGACCCTCCCAGCTGGGACTTACTCGGCCTACAGGACCATCAAGGTCAAGCTCTGCTACGCGCCCATAAGCCAAGTAGACCGCGCGTGGAGAAAAACCGAAGACCACCTTAACAAAGACAGGACTTGCCAGTTTAAAATCGTGGCTAGACCATACAACTCTGCCAACAAAACCGCCCAATCCCTTGAGTGGACTATTGAACGCGACGTGCCCACTTCCACGTACTTCATACGCGCCTATGCTTATAATGCGGAGGAAAAAGAGGTGGCTTATGGGCAAACAACAGATGCACACAAGACCACCGATTTGTTTCAAATCGAAGCAATCTCCGGCCGCCACACGACAATGGATATTTGCTCGATTTGCTTTAGTGCTTTCTCCGTTGTGTCCTTGTTTGGTTTCTTCTACAAGGAGAAGAGGAATGCAAAGAGAGCTCAGTAGAGTGAAAAAGGCAAAAAGAAAATGAGCTTTGCAGCACTTTTGAAAAGTTTTAGGGAAAGGAGTGAGGACAGAATGGATAGTCTTGAATTTTAAATGCATGTATTAGCAAATGTAAGGATAATTACACTATAAGGAAATCAATTTTTAACTTTTTTTTTAATCAAATATATAATTTTTTACTTGAGTATATTAATTTTTTCAAAAAAGTCAATAAGACATTTTCGTCAATTTTTTTTGACAATTGATGACGTTTATATTATCTTCAAAAAATTAAATTACAATTTTGATCTTTTTTTCTCAAAAGAGTACATAAATTTTAATTTTTTCAGATTGATAACATTAGTTTTTTCAAAACTGTCAATCATGTACTTCTATCAATTTCTTCGTTAATTGATGAGGTGTCTAAATATCAAATTTTTTTTCCTCTTTTTTTGTAAGGAACTTTCTTCTTAAATTATTCTATCATTTTAAATTTTGACATTTTTTTAAGAGTTAGTTTTAGTTATAAAATTTTAAACTACACTTAATTAGGCTCGTTGTTAAAAAAAAATCAGTTAGGTTTTGAATGTGAAAGTTAAAGAAAATATAAATGTAAGATTTTTCATTAAGAAGATTCATTTGTGTTCTTCAATTTTCACTCTTAAACCTAATTGAGCTTCTTCTTTTTTAAAATTTTTAACAATAATCTATCTAAGTTTAGTTTGAAATTTTATAGATAAAAAATATTTTTAATTATTTTTAAAATGGTAAAATAATTTGGAGAGAGTTTTTTTTTTCAATAAAAGAGGATAAAATTATAATTTCATATTGAAATACGTCATCAATTAGCAAAAAATTAATAAAAGTATTTAATTAACGAGTTTTGAACAAATTGATGTATTAAAAAAAAATTAAAATTCATGTACTCAATTAAAGAAAAAAGTAATATTATAATTTTGTATTTTGAGAGTAACATATAGTCATATATGTCATCGGTTAACGAAAAAATTGACGAAATACTTAATTGACAATTTTGAAAAAATTAATATACTAAAAAAAATTTATATACTTGATTGAGAAAAAATTAAAAATTAATGTATTTATAGTGTAATTATCCAATTAATGTAATTAGTAAAATTACTTGGTTCTTGTCAAGCAATTAATATCAAATGTTGTCACACCATGAATGGGCGGGATCATATGAGGAAGAAAGCAATGTTCTATCTTGTTCCACATGAAACCTGGTAGGTCTGTCTATGGACAAAAAGGTAAATTAAAAATTAGTATTTCTTGTTTTTTAAAAAATTAATTAGTCTCTCTCTCTCTTTCTCTCTCTCTCTCTTTTTCAAAAGCAAATCATGGAAGTTATTTTTCTTTTAAAAACTAACAATTTAGGCCATCACATTTTAAATAAAATAATTTGTTCATTAGTATTCTGTTAGATTAGTAATTTTTGCTTTTAAATTATTCTTTTTTTTATTTTTGATTGAAAAGAGAAAAAATGAATGGGTGAAAGAAATAAGCAAGATATCAAAAAAAGAGCAATTTAGAAAGAAAAAAAATCACTAATCTAATAGAAAATTGATGAAAAATAAGTTATTGAGGAAATTAAAACACAAAAAATTAAATAATTAGTTTTTAAAATAAAAAAGACTAATTAAGCCATTTTACAAAAAAAAAAAAAAAAAAGAACTAATTAATAATTTTCTCATGGACAAAAGGATAATTAATGATATTAATAGTTTTACAAATTCATCATTTTTTATTTATTTGGATTCTAATTTTTCTAGCCCTCAAAATAAAAACAACCCTATTAAATTCCCATCATTTACTTTTCTTTTGACTCTTCCTTTAGGGTTTTGAGCATTTTTTGAGGTTTTCTTTAGTTACTCTCGCTGACAGTAGCATTTTTTCCTTGTTTTTTCAACACTTTTTTCTTTCAATAATTTCAAAGTGAGGTTTTATCTTTTTACATCTGAAAATTTTCGTCTTGTAATATCTAATTCATATGATTTTCTTTATCTTAGTAGTTTTTTTTTTTTTTAGTTTGTGGTTTTTCTTTTCCTGGGTTGCCCCAATGGAGTTTTCAGTGGAAGTTAATTATATGAAAATGAATAAATAGGAACCAATTTTATAGACAACATTAAAAAAAATAAAAATAAAAAATAAACAAACAAACAAAAAAAAAAGTCTACGAGATAGTAGAACTTCTGATCACCACTAGATTTGAAATTAATATATGGTCCTGTTCTTTTATACCATGTAATTATTTTGTTCTAATTTTTTTAAATGTAATTCTTATTTTATTTATTTTAAATGTCATTTGAGGCTATAAAACTCACTTTGTAGTTGCTGATTTATTAATAAAATTTGTTATCTTGAACATAAAAAAAAAAAAAAAAAAAAAAAAAAAAAAAATCCTCAAGAAGTTATATCCGAAGAATAATTTAAATGTTTAACTTGAATAATTAACGGTCAAATCATGAAATGAGTAAATAGAGTTCTAGTGGGAAAAGAACTAACCTCATTATATATATACCATTCTAACTAGGTAATTGTAGTAGAATGGATTCATGTTCATATAGTAGTTCTTTTTCTTCATCCGCTTTGGCAGAATTAATTTCTTCTGAGATTCGACAGCAACCAATTTGGAACTATGAAGGTTCAGATGGCATGTTTCATTGTAGAAATATGATCCGAATATGGACTTCTTGGACTGATAAGCATCCAAGAATGGTGTGGCTTCTACGAATTTAAAGATCCTCTGGTGAGTGAAAGAGCTAAGAAAATGCTAATTTGACCGACATTTGTGATATGGAAGTGTGCCATTATCCAAAACAATACACTACTATTAACGTGACATATGGTATAATCTTAACCTCCTGTTTCTCTGATATTTACCCATGATATGTTGCCGACCGTACAATATAAAATCATTTCAAAATTTTATATTTTTTTAATTAATTTTTTTTATATTTTTCATAAAATTTCTACTTAAAAAAATAATTTATTCTTTGTTACGCATTGATTCTTAAATAAAAATTTGTAATAATTTAAATTAAAATATTAATTAAGAATTAAAAAATATTTTTTTATAAGGATGTATTCAAAAAAGAAAGTTACAAGTAATGTATAAACATGTATAAAAATTAACTAATAAAAAATATTTTATTTTTATTTGATGCTAATAAGAAGATTAATTTTTGAAAGTACTTGCATTTGATATATATATATATACAAAATAATCAATAATGTTAGTATAAAAAAATATATTTAAATAATTAATTGGTTCCTTTAAAAGAATATTTTAATTATTTTACTTTAACAAAATTGGTTCTATAATGTTAAAAGAAAATATTCATAGAAAATATTTGGTGTTATGTTTGAAGAAATATAGCTAATTTTAATGAAACTGATGATTCAATTTTTTTTTATACGTTTTAACCATATCTAGTGGATCAAGATAAATTATCCGAAACACATTTTTAATCTTTTAAATTAAAATAATTATATATTTTATATATATGCAAAGATAATTTAAAATTTTTAACAATCATAATATATATTTTTTATGTGGTAACCTCTCGATGATTGCCAAAAATAAGAATGTATTAATTCAAAATGTGTGGAGTCCCCACTTAGTTTTCAAAAAGGTGAAAAAAAAAAACTAACACTAATTGTTAGAATTCTAAGTAAGGAGGTTGATTACACAACCGAGAAAGACTACATTCATCCTAGTGTGTCCTCGTAATAAGGTTACCTAGCTTAGGAAAATTCATTTATTCAAGTTACCTTTCTATCCCGATATGTGTGTTTTATTATTTGGGTCTTTTCTCACTAGTCCAAAGAGAGATGATTTGGATACTAAAAAAAAAAAAAAACAATCTCTCACCTAATATTCATTGGGCCATTAGAGCTCACTTGAAAAGGTAAAAGTTAGGGCTTAAAAGTTATTACAAATTAAACAACCAAAATTTCATACAAATATAGGTAAAAATAAAATAGAGCGAACATGGACCATCAACCCAAATTCACCTATCAAACCATCAAATAAAATGATTACAAATCCGTAATTAAAAAAAAAAAAAAAAGACTTAGGCTTCAAGCTCATATCATCTAACCATGCCATTTTTAAATATTAAGTTAGGTCTAAACTTCAAATTCATAGCTAAATCTACAAGAGGAAGAAATTAGTAGTACCGGAAATTAATTGAAATTGACATATAACTACATAAACAATAATGATAAAAAAAAATAATATAAAATAATAATGAGAAAAAGGCCCATTATTGAAACAAAATTGATCTCAAGTTGTAAACCTATTCTATTTAAATTAACCTATATTGACATTACATAAAATAAAGCAAAGTGTAAGACAAAATAAATTCAATCATATAAAAATCACGAATCACATTAAAACAACTTTATGGATAAAATAGTCGGTATGCATCCACAAGATCTTTGGCCTATTTAATTCCTACTAGCCTTTTATATATATATATAGGAAAAATAGCTAGCCTATTGCTAGCTTCATTATCAACCGAAAATTCCTCATAAATTTTTTATAAAGAAAATAAAAATACTATATAATTTGTTAAACCCTTAACTCCTTTTTTATTAAAAAAATAATAAGAATATCAAAAAATAAAGTTAAAGATAATAATATATCAAAACTAAAAAATTACAAAACCCTAACCCCATCGGATTAAATTTTAGAGCCCAAGATATCACAAAGAGCTTGAATTTGGATCCCTTTTAAATCTGCCAAAAAAAATACAAAGTGTAGCAAGTTTTAATTTGTTTTAATTATATCCTTTTAATCAATATATTTTAATCTAATAATCATCTGAATTTAATCTTAATCATATAATTGGCATGAAAAGTATATTAATCAATTAGGTAATCATGCAATACAACAAGATTTGAATGAAAATTAAATAAAAAATAAATGCACAAGGTTGTAATTACCAAAATCAAAGTTTTGAAGACCAAAATGGCTAAGATTTCAACATAAATGGTGA